AGGGGCGCCTGGGTGGCGCAGTTGGTTAAGCGTCCGACTTCAGCCAGGCCACGATCTCGCGGTCCGTGAGTTCGAGCCCCGCGTCGGGCTCTGGGCTGATGGCTCGGAGCCTGGAGCCTGTTTCCGATTCTGTGTCTCCCTCTCTCTCTGCCCCTCCCCCGTTCATGCTCTGTCTCTCTCTGTCCCAAAAATAAATAAAAAACGTTGAAAAAAAAATTAAAAAAAAAATAAAATAAAATCCCGTCTTTAAAAAAAATAAATAAATAAATAAATAAATAAAAATAAAACCTAATATGTAAATATTTGACACCCTCAGAGTCAGAAAGAAATTATTTGTTTAGTCTCATTTATTTCCTAGTATTTTCTTAAGATCTTATAAAACTGATTTAGATATTTAAATCATTTTCCCCTATGTCTATTCATGTTAGGGTTGATGATGTATGTGATCAACCATCAGAAGCTATTGATATCAATTAGAATTCATAAGATCTACAGGATATTTCATTGACTCAATATATATTTTAGTTTTTAATGAACTAAGCCAGTTTGACTATACAGAACTTGAAGGATTTTCCCCCCAAAATTTCATAATAGATACATTTTTTTTAATGTCTATTTATTTTTGAGAGAGAGACAGAGATAGAGAACAAGTAGGGGAGGGACAGACGGAAGGAGACACAGAATCCGAAGCAGTTTCCAGGCTCTGCAGTGTCAGCACAGAACCTGACAAGGGGCTCAAACTCATGAAGCATGAGATCATGACCTAAGCTGAAGTCGGACACTAAACCAACTGAGCCACCCAGGCGCCCCTAGATACATTTTAAATATACATAAAAATGTGGTGCCTGTAATTTAGTTACCGTTCTTCATTCAGTTCACTGATTTTTAAACTAGCGGCTCTTTAAACTTTTGTCCTCCCAAACCAATATTTTCAATACTTCTAAAAACTAGAGTCTGATTTAAGGGTCAGTTTTGCAGTGTTTGAAAGATAAAACAATGGTTACTTAAGTTATATGCGCACTTAGATCTCATTTGGAAATGCAGAAATAGAAAGCATACTGGTCTTTATGTTTTATAAATACCTAGCTGTTTATGTGTTTTGTGTTATAAGTAAATTATAATAAAAAAGTAAATGAGTAGATTTCTGGTATGTAATCTCGTATTGATGAGTTTTAATACCCAAGTTTATCATGTAAGTGTGAATTCTTTCTTTGTATTTTCAAAATCAGAGTAGTTTATTTCTGCCATTTGGATTAATATCCTTGCTATGTATATCTTCATAGTTTGAGGTAGATAAAATGTTTTGCTTTGAATTTACTTCAGAAACAAGAACTACCTACATTAACGTCTTTAAATCACAGTATACAGAGTGTCAATGGTTAAAGGAAATTATTTATACATGCCATTACTTGAATGAAAAGGAATCATTAATATGAGCGGCAAATTAGGTAAAATGTGAGGTAACATAATTTGGAATGAAGGATTCTTTTGAGATATTTATCTATAACACCTGACATATGAAACTTAGGCACTATAAACTGTGAGGTTTGTAAAAGTTATCTGTGTTTCTTGAAAGATAATGAGAAAAACAATTCTCATAGCAGGTATTTAACCATACAGATGCTACCCAAGAACAGAATGCATCTGCTTTTTTCTAGTTGAATTATGGAAATAGTCTCTGTAATATTGTTTCTAGTCTTTTACACAAACATAAAATACATCTCTTTTTTTTAATTGTAGATCTCATTTCCATAATATTTTGAGCTTAAGACAAGTATAATGGAGAAGGACAGTAGTTATCTGTTAGAGCAATTGAATTCCTAAAACAAAGAAATATATATAATCTAAGGATTTTTAGATAAGGCTGATTTAGGCAGATCACACCTACATTATAGTAAACATGTGCTTAATGTTTATCACATGAATGAAGAAATAACATCAGCTCTAAATCTTGACATATTTTTCCCACCTCTTTACCTATTTTATTTTTTTATTTTTTTTTATTTTTTTAGTGTTTTATTTTTATTTCTGAGATAGAGGGAGAGACAGAGCATGAACAGGGGAGGAGCAGAGAGACAGGGAGACAGAATCAGAAGCAGGATCCAGGCTCCCAGCTGTCAGCACACAGCCCGATGCGGGGCTTGAACTCGCCGTGAGATCATGACCTGAGCCGAAGTCAGATGCTTAACCGACTGAGTCACCCAGGCGCCCCCCCACCCCGCCCCACCTTTACCTATTTTAAATTTAAGTTCAGGGATAATATATACAGTTATCTATTTAATCAAGAAAAATATCTTAATACCATATCTGAAGACATTTTTCTACTTGCTTTTGTAATAAGATATACTTAGCTTGTCTGTGTTCTTATGCTCACCAGGTTCCATACGACTAACAGAAAAATTTGCCAAGACTATATAGTTAGTTCTAGTTCCTCCAGAAATCTGAAGGATAAATGAGTTGTATACAGGTAGGAACATACCATGATTTCCAAATCAAATACCTGGCTGGAGTGGAGAAATAGTGAGATGGGAATACATAGTAAGTTGTCATGTAAAGAGAGTTAACTTTTTCTTTATTTTCAAATTCAAGATAGGAGGTAGAATTCAGTTCAGTGAAGGGAAGAACTTTCTAGAAAGTAAACTACCCAATCATGGAGAAACTATAAACTTTCCAAGCAGAATCTGAACAGCCATTTTGTCAGGAACATTGCATTGGTAAAGAGATTAAACCAGATGGAATTGTATAGCTGCCATCCGCTTTAAAATTCAGTGATTCTAAATTAGCTCTTACCATTCTGCCTTTGTTGATACCACTTGAAAAGCCAGTTGTTATTCTTTCTTATCTTCCTGTTTTCTTTTGCTTCAGATTATTCACAAAATGAAAATATTTTGTAAATCTATCAAATTATGTATTGGATAATTTCTTACTCATTTCCTGTGATACTTGAGCACTGGATATACCAAGATGAATAAAACAGATTCTACCTTCAAGGTACTTATTGTTTACTAGGAGACACAAATAAATAAAGAAAAACTATCATATAGTAGAAAAAAAATCTAGAAAAGAAATATGCATACTCTGTCAGGGAATCATTACACAAACAAGCATATAATTCTGTTACAGTTGAGGGCTCAAGAGAAGCTGGTGAGAAGAGGGCTCATTTAAGTTGGTCCCTTATTAATGGCAACAAGCAAGAGCAGCTACAGTGTTTGAGCATGTGGTGTCATGCTTTTAATGCACCGAGCACTATGATAGCTGTTTTAGATGATTTTGTTTTGTCTTCCAACAAGCTTTTAGAAGACATGATAAGGAAATTAAGGCTGAGTGGACAATTGGGACAAGTATTGGCCCATGATCACACATATAGAAAGAGGGACAGAGGAAATGGGGCAGTGGCAACAGACATTCAAACCAATATCTTTCTATATCCAGAGCGATAAAGAAAACTAATGTTTCCCTTGATAAAATGAAATAGATCTTCTAAGACCAAAAATGAAGGGATACTTTTCTTTTGAAGCATTTCTATTATACTTTACCATCCAGATTTTATTTCCAATGGCTAACTTTCTTCTCAGACTTCTTGCTAATATTGCTGGTGCCACTGCCATGCTTGGTCCAGAGGTTAAGGGAAATGACTATCATTTTAACTAATGACTCAAGTATGGATAGAAACCTTTCTGTCCCATAGCACATACAATTGGGATGTTTAAGTAAGATATCTTGAAATTAAAAGGTAATAAACAATGAGAAGAACATGTAACTAGGTCATTTATACACTGTGGTTTACTCTCTGGAGTTAACAGTCTCATTGAGTATTTCCTTGTCATCTTAGTACCTACTACACAAAAGGCCATGCTAGGAGTTACCATGAGTGTAAAAGTGTATTGCGTGTTTCTGAACTACAAGAAATCCAGTAGGCTGGAGGGTATAGTTGGGAGTAGGGGAAGAAGGTGAAGATAATAGGAAATGAACACAGGAAATACAAGCTAGGGCTGATCTGCAAATACCATGATAGAGCCATGCTAAGGAATAAACATTTGATAGGCAGTGTGGGTCATCATGGCTCTTAAGTGACATAAATAAGAATGAGTTTTAATTTTTTTTAATGTTTATTTATTTTTGAGAGAAAGAGCGCATGCATGTGAGCAGGTGGGAGGTGGGGGGGGGGGCGGGTTGGGCAGAGAGAGGGAGACACAGAATCTGAAGCAGGCTCCAGACTCTGAGCTGTCAGTACAGAGCCCGACGCGGGGCTTGAACTCACAGACCACGAGATCATGACCTGAGCTGAAGTTGGACGCTTAACTGACTGAACCACCCAGGCACCCTTAGAAGCATAGTTCTGGAGGCAGCATGAAGAATAAATTGGGAGAGGGGAAAGGCTAAGTCAGAGAGACCAATGAAGACAGTACATTAGTCTCAGTAAATGACAAAGATTAGTGATATGAAGGAAAGCACTATTTCAAGAACTATTTCACAGGTGGAATCAATACACTTTGGTAACTGACTGGATTCAGGAATTGAAATAAAAGGAAGAGATATCATTGAGCTCCCAGAGGTTCTTAGCCTCGACTGTTGTACAGCAGGTGATGCCACAGAACTGACTGAAGAAACAGTGGGAAGAATGCAGTTGTGAGGAGAGAACACTGAGTTTACTTTTAGATATGTTGAACATGAAGTGGTATCCAGTTAGAAACAGTCCAAATGAAGATCAATATAGGAGTTTTCAGGAGTTTAGGAGAGATATCATGACAAAATTTAACACATTTGGGATTCCTAAATCATTGTTGAACTAATGGTACCAGATAAAATTACCTATAAGTGTGTATTTATTTAAAGGAATGCTACGGCTAGAACTTGGAGAAAAGCAACTTTTAAAGAGTGCAAAATAAAAGGAGCCAGCAAAGGAAATTGAAAAAGAGTAGTCAGAAAGGTTGTAGATAAAGTGCTGTGAGAAAGCCAAGCATGAAAGCAGTTGATAGTGTCAAAATATATTAATGTAAGAATGTTAAAAAAAATCTTTTGGCCCTAGTGGAAACTAAAGTAAGCTAATATGATATGCATGTTAAAACATTAAAATGTTTTTCTCCTTTGAATATACATAAGAGAAATTGACAGAAGCCTATTGAGTGATATGATTCATGTATACATACTTTAGTTTTCATATATTGTTGTACATGTTTGTATTAGTGCATTTCTCTATAGGATGTATTATTTTGTAAGCAGAAATAGTTTGCGTTCAACTTTCTTGTTGGGTTCACCAGTCTGTTTTTTTTTCCTTCAGATTTTATGGAATTGTTCTGGGTCTGACAATTTCAAACATGTTAACTAAGTCTTTTCTTTAAAAGTAGAGTTTTGGATTTATAAAATGTTTTATTTGTAAACATTCACTGTTATACAGATATTAGGACCTTAATAAAGATATGTTGAATATTATAATTGCAGTTGTACCTTAATCATTTAACATGCCCCAATGATCTTACGTAGTCATGTAGTTTTTAGAAGACACAGAGCAAAGTAATTGTTAAAATAGAAGCAATAGTACAAGAGTGGACCCTTCAGAGAAAGAATTGCACAGGCCTTATCCAATCAGGAGTTATGTAGGGAAATCATTAACCTGCTCTCCTTTCTTTCCCCCCTCCTCTTTGGTTTTGTTTTTTTGTTTTGTGGTAGTCTGACCCTTGGTTATCATTACAGAACTATGGAGGTGCAATGAGACCCCCACTGAATGCTTTAGGTGGCCCTGGAATGCCCGGAATGAACATGTAAGCAAAATGCCATATTATCCTGTTTAGTATTCTATTTTCTGTCTTCTGAAGTCACACTAATTTGTAACACACTTTCAGCTCCTCAATTTCTGTGTAGTATAAAATGGAACTGGTGTAAATGAACTAAACATGAGCACTAGTGTCTGCCTCGTTTTCACAACATACTCCCTTTTTCTTCCTTCCCTTGCAACCTTTAATTTTTTTTCCATTTTCAAATGCCAAATGCCAACTTTTAGCCTGGTTTTCATGGTTCATTTATTTAATTAAAAATGAGTCTTTTATGTATAAACACAGCCTCCAGATAGTCTATACAAAACTGTAAAGAGATGCGGACACGAGGACCAGGACTTCACTCCACAGAAACAGACAATTGATACTAACTTCATTTTAACAGATACTAAATGATTCCTAAAAGATCTTAATTCTTATATATGAGTCTTTACTTTTGCTTTGTTGGGATCACTCTTAACCCAGGAAGCATTCTTTCTGGTATTATCTTCTATATTAAAAAACTTTCCATACTATAGGGTCATTTTTTTTATTTTCTTTTTAAGTTTATTTATTTTTGAGAGAGATACAGAGAGAGAGAGAGCAGGCAAGGGGCAGAGAGAGAGGAGAGAGAATCCCAAGTAGGCTTTGCACCATCAGCGCAGAGCCCAACTCAGAGCTCAATCCCATGAACCATGAGACCATGATGTGAACCAACATCAAGAGTCAGACACTTAACCAACTGAGCTACCCAGGAGCCCTGATAGGGTGAATTTTTGTTTGAAAATTAAGATGTGCAGATAAGGTGTAAACTGACAGTATTTTGGTTTGTTTTTTACTGAAAAGTCCTTTCAAGCCCAAAGAGCATGGTTGTTTCTATTACACCAAATAACGCCATCTATTAAGGAATTTTAACTTATTTTTCAATATCTAACTTGCCCTCAAAGTTCCATATACACCAGGTGTTTGTGACTTTCATTAATTCACTAAAGGGTCAATTCTATGATGTGGCCTAAAGAAAGCTTACCAGAAATAATGAAACCTTTCCATATAGGGTTGTGGGTAGTTTCCTCTAATATATTTTCCCATTAGTCCTTTGGTTACTTACATATCAAATTAGACAGCTCTGCCATCATTTAATGGCATTGAAGATATAATGAGACAAGTTCCTTTGATATAGTTAGGGATTTTTTAAGTTTCTGAAACCATTTTCATGGAAAGCAATTTTGCCTAAAATAGAAAATAGGTTAATAAGTGGCTACCAGCCAGACTCAAAACTAACAGAACAAGGGGAAAAAAGTAGGTCAAATTTTCCTATCACGTCTTTTTACTTTTAAAGTAAAAATGGGTAGACATGAAGTCTGACTTTTCTTAAATCTCTCAAAGGCTTAGCCTTTATTAATGGTTGTTACAAAAAGGAGTGATATTTTATGCTTAAATCAAAAGCTGCAACTCTTACCAATAGGATTTAGATGTATATAAAATTTACCTACCTGAGATTCTGACTTTAAAATGCAATAGCTTTTAGAAAATATAATTTTAAATACTATGTATAGATGTAAGGAGTATACATTTTGAATATTATGATCAGTTAAAAATTAGCATTAAATGGTAAGATTGTACCTAATGTCATTTTGTGTACTACACTTCATTATAATTAGCCATGTGGTCAACTTTAGATCAACCTGTTTTTGTTAATATAAAGAAAAAAGTTATTTTTATGTGACCATTAAGAAACTCAGCTGCTTAAAACTGTCTGGTTCTTTTCTCACATACACTTAAATAAACACATATGGGTGCATTAAATTCCCTAGACTATGGACAGTAAAAATATGGTTGGAATTTTTAATATTATTTTTGCTGACATTTGCATTTGGGTTTCTCACTTAAATACACTCAGATCATTTAAAATATTTTTATTACCCTATATTGTATTATTCGTATAATTTCTGTTTTTTAAAGTGACTGAGCCTTAACAGACTCAGATTTCCATTATTTCTTACTATTGATTTATTTGTGGTCTTATGTAATTTTCAGTTTTCTATAAATTAGTATATTCTTAAAGAACAATGAAAATGTAAATATTTCCTTTTAACAAGGAAGTTCTGAAGTACGTAAGATCCAAACAGACAGAATAATTCATGTGTTGATATTGGCCCCAACAAAGCAAAAGTGAATTTAAAGAGACATAAAAAAATAAAATGTATCATCTCCATTGTACTCAATAGAGTAAACTTTTTTGAAATTCACTTCATAATTTAGTATCTTTAAAACATATACTAAATTCATGTTTTGGCAAATAAGTATTTCTAACTAGCATTTGTGGCTTTCTTCACGTCACTTTTTTACATGTTGGGTAATTTAAAAATTAAAGGTAAAGGCATTAGAATAGTGTTACTTTAAGCTATGTTTTTAACAGTCTTAGATATTTGCATGTTGGAGTCAGGTGAGACCTGCCGGCGAATCATATCTGGATGAGTTTTCTTTAGCTTGTCACTTTTTCTTGTTTGCCATGAAAATATAATGACAGTGAAAAATAATACCCAACTGTGCTCACAAAAGTAATTAAATACTGTATACCAACTGGCAAACTATTTGGAACAAAATTTTGGTAGTTTTATTTTTACAATTATTGGTTGTCTCCATAGAACATAGTTATTCTGACATAATTTTTATATTTCAGTGCTCTGAACTCAAGTTATTTATAGTATCATCTAAAATTAAAGAGTATACTTCTAATGTTTCTCTAACTACTATTGTATTTTTACAAATAAAAGCCTAATATCAATTTCAGTACTTTAAAGTAGAATTTACAAACTACAGCCACAATGTAAATGTTTTCAAGTGCATTATGAATAAGTTTTTTAAAAGAAACTATTTCTAAATTAACCGCATTTTTATAAATTTCCAGAGAGTTTAGGATTCAGCATTATAACATTTCTAATTCAACTTTGTATACATTGATATTTTGTAAAACTAAGAGGACAAATAATTTCAATGGGTCTAGACCTTCTTGTTATCCTATAGAATGATAAATTTTCCATAGTTATTGTCTTGAAATAAAATGACTGTACAGCAAAAAAATTTTTCTCTACAGTAATCATAGTTGCTTTTATTTTATCAAGTCCGTATACACTTACCAAAAAATACATGCTTCTTTTAAAGTACATTTTTCTCTTTGTTTTTTAAATGAGGCTATCCTGATTCTACTTCAGACTATACCTATATAGAAATCTCCATTCAAAATAACTCCTGTATTATAGTGTGTAAATTACTTTCTTGATAATACTGCTGGTCCTCAAAAGGAGTGGGAATTACTGAGCTTATGTGGTTGTTCTAATAGAACTTCTCGCTAATATAACCCCCATTTTATTTAGCACTTTTTGTGAAACTTTGTTTTCAATCACAACGGCAGTGTTGGGAGAAATTTGGCTTATCCACGTGAATTTTTGTTTTTAGTTTTTTTTTTAATGTTTATTTATTTTTGAGAGTGAGAGAGAACATGAGCTGGGTAGGGGCAGAAAGACAGGGGGACAGAAGATCTGAAGCAGACTCTGTGCTGACAGCAGAGACCCCAGTATGAGACTCGAGCTCACAAACTGTGAGATCATGACCTGAACCGAAGTCAGTCACTCAACTAACAGAACCACCCATGGGCCCCCTCCATGTGAATTATTAATACTTAACCTATCATATTAAAATGCAATGGGGGCACCTGGCTGACTCAGTCGGTTAAGTGCCTGACTTTTGATTTCAGCTTAGGTCATGATCTTATGGTTCTTGAGATAGAGCCCCATGCCAGGCTCTGTTCTGGCAGCTTGGAGCCTGGTTGGGATTCTCTCTCTCCCTCTCTATCTGCCTCTCCCCTGCTCATGCTCTCTCAGATGGGCTCTTTGTCTCTCAAAATAAATATATAAACACTTAAAAAAAAATAAAATCCAATGTGATATGAAATACATAGTGTGCTGAGACTAGATTAGTATTTGTCAAATAACTGAAATGTGTAAAAGGTATTGTTATTGATAATGTAATATTTAACATTTAATTTAATGCTGTTATTTAAGTAAAATGTTTAGTTATTTAACATTTAATTTAGCATGTTAATTTAACATTAAATAATTTTTAAATGATAAATAAATATGATATTTAATCTTATACAGTCCTATTTTTAAAATTATGAGATCATTATCAACTTAACATCATTGTATACAAATTTTTGCCATGATTTGTATATAGCATTTTTTTTAGATAGAAAGCATGAAGGTGGGGGAGAGCGAGAAAGGGGGAGAGAGAGAGAGAAAGAGAGAGAGGGAGAGAGAGAGAGAAAGAGAGAGAGAAAGAGAAAGAGAGAGAGAGAGAATCCCAAGAAGGCTCCATTCTCAGCACAGAGCCTGATGTGTGGCTCAATTCCATGACCCTGGGATCATGACCAAGCCGAAATCAAGAGTATGATACTCAACCAACTCAGCCACCCAGGCACCCCTGGATATAGCATATTTTTTGTGCTGTTTTAAGATAAATATTTCCCAATTTCTTTACTATGTTTTATTTAACATCACACAAATTATGTGGATTAACATCAAACAAATAAAATGTTTCACTTGGTAAATACATACCATATGTTTTACCTCACTTTCTGTCCATTAGGACATTGAATCCTGTATGTAAGATCATCTTTCTAAAGTGTTCCTATAATTAAGTGTAAAATCATCATCATCAACCCTATCTTAATGAGGCAACAGGTTCCAGAGACAGTACAAGTACATGTCCCTAACCTTCTCCCTGTGCACAATACTTTGACCAACTCCTCTCTGGCATCTCATTTTCTTCTTTACTCCTCAAGCAGAATAGGAGAAAATTGTATTTGGGTACCCTAATAGAGCCCAGGGAAAGAATTTTCATGTACTTCCCTGCTGTTTACATCCCTGGGGAATTCCAAACAAAATGAAAAACAATTCTAAATAGTCCAGGCTAACATGGGTAATATAGCTAACTTGGACAGCTTCTATCTAACATATGAGAATTTCAGGGTTAAGGTCTCTGCAGTAAGAATCAGGGGACATGTTTTTTTGTTGTCGTTTTTTTTTTTTTTTAATTAAAAATTTCCTCTGTCTTTTTGCTGCAGTTAGAAGGAAAAGGGAATCTTGAGTGACCCTAATTACAGAGGACCTGCTAACAGTAGTCTACTTTTTATCAAGCAGTATTTATTTCGGTATACTTAATACTGAAGCATGAGTACAAGAGACTTTTTCACTTAATTTTGTTTTAAAAGATTCATGTCCTTTTAAGCTATAGAATACAAAACCTTATCCACCACCCTGAAGTGAAGTAATATACTGACGTACATTGGATTAGATTATTTCCTGTTTATCTCAAGATTTACTCTGGCCACTGTCTTGACCTACAATTATGAAAACAAAAAAAGTGATCCCTTTTTTAAAAAGAAAATTGTCTGGGCACCTGGGTGGCTCAGTCAGTTAAGTGTCTGACTGTTGATCTCAGCTCAGGGCTTGATCTCAAGGTCATGAGTTCAAGCCTTGCATTGGGCTCTGCACTAAGTATGAAGCCTACTTTAAATCAATCAATCAATCAATCAATCAATCAATGTAAATTGTCAGTGGCACTGAGAGATAGATTAATACATGTATAAAGTAATCTGATAGTCTATGTGTGTTTTAAAAGAAGTCAAATTTAGTCATCTTTTATGTACATATATATATTTGTAGTTTAGTAAAAGCAATTATTTTATAGATATTGATATTTTAAAAATAATTTCACTTTAATTTTTAATGATATACAGGTGGCAGTTATCTTTGTGTCATAGGATTATACTTTATATTTATTTCATAATTAGTAATTTTTACCCATGTTTTTACTGTTACAGGTGATTATCACTTTTAGTGGTTATTACAGTAACTGAACTTAAAATAAAATTGGACCGACACAAAGTAGTTTGATTTGGGAAGAAAACTATATTGTGAAATGATCAAAATTTTTGATTTAAGAAATAAAAAATTTGTGAAAATACAGAGTAATTTCAGTGCCGACCTAGAACTGCATGGTAACTAAATTGTAAATGTTATATTTTATGATTTGTTATTGCTTATTGTGAAAGATTCAAAACATAAGTTAAAATTTCATTGATCATATTGTCTTATAGGGGTCCAGGTGGTGGTAGACCTTGGCCAAACCCAACAAATGCCAATTCAGTGAGTATATATATATTTTAATTTTCTTTGCACTTTCTAGCATTGAACAACAAAAATCCTGTTGCTTTTGAAAGCCCTGCAATTGGTTATATTAACTTTTTTTAAAAAGTAATCATTCAAAAAATATATTTCACATATATATTTTTAAAATATGTATAATTTTTGAAATGACGAAGTTTTTTACTTCACAGTCTAATGTAAACATGCATTCTATATGGATAAACAGACTTCAAAATTAAAATAGAAAATGTGATTTAGGTATACCACAGTAGCCTATATTTATTATAATATATATTTATCATAAAATGATTTGATCTTCTAAAATAATTATGGTAATCACTAAGTTGCCAGATAACCTCAATCTCTATCAGAGTTATTATGATTGTATTTATTATACTAGTTACACCTAGGTTTGCTCTCTCACTATTCCTGGAGGCAAGTGCGCATTTGCCCTGTCCCTATTGGCTGAATTGGTGTTCCTACACATCTATCTGTGTATATGACATGCTGTGAATTTTCCTTACATGTTTTGTCATAGTGGTTTAACTGCACAAATATTTTTCTCTCTTAATAATAACACATGAATATATGCATAATATGAAAATTAAGCTTTCAGTCTTAAAATTAATATGATTTAATTTAATGATCCTGGTAATATTTTCCCTTCTTGACTTTGAACCCTTGAGTTTCTTCAGTATAGAGAGAGTTCTGCAGTGTACCTTTGTGTAGTGTGTGCACTGCACAAAGGTTCCTGACTCAAGGAAGTTGGTAGGGTACTAAAATACAGATTGTGCTCCACTTGTAAAGTCTATGAGTATCTGACCCAGCAAGGATGCCTTTTGCTAATATGCACAGAGGTACGCCCATTGACTAGCAATGACCTTAATGCTAAATAAACATGAAACGGATCCAATGTTTAAGGTTAATTTAAATTTCAAGAAAATGTGAAGTGAGGTATATGTGGTATAGAAAGAATTATCCTAAACTTATAGCTATTCTAAAGCTGAATCACTTTCTCCTCAAGTAAGCAATTATCATATTTTTAGAGAAAAAAATAATTTATATTATCTTCCTGTCTCTTAGTTTTAATAGCTAATTGAAATACAATTTGGAGTGGAGAGAGTGATAATTTTGCTTACATTTGGATCTTCAGTGTACTATTTAATCTTAACCAATCTTTCTTTTTTTTTAATTGAAATTTTTAAAAATATTTGAGAAAGTGAGTGTGAGCAGGGGAGGGGCAGAGAGAGGGGGAGAGAGAGAGAGAGAGAGAGCGCGAGAGAGAAAGAGAGAGAGAATCCCAAGCAGGCTCCATGCTCAACACGGAGCGTGACGCGGGACTCAATCACATGACCGTGAGTGACATCATGACCCAGGCCAAAATCAAGAGTCGGTCTTCCAGTCTACTGAGCCACCCAGGCGCCGTTTAGCAAATCTTTCTAAAATACTTTTTATCCAGATTATGTTATAATGTGAATGTGAATTCTTTCCTCTTCCAAAATTCTTTTAGTTTGCTTATATCCTTTTGGAGAGTTTACATTTCTATTTGCTTCTTGCTACATGCCTTTCAAATTCATTCAAGATTTCACTTTAAAATGGCATCTGGCTAGCAGCTCAACATACAGTTCTTTCAACTCCCTATTAAAGTACCCATAAAGGTACAGGAAAAAACAATTTTTTATAATACTGAAAACTGACTCTTCCTATTGCCAGAATCTGGAAAGACTTTCTATTCAGAATCTGCATTTCTGTCGAAACTGGATTAAAAAGCACAATTAATGGCACACCTTAACTATGTGAGCCTTCCCACCTAGAAGCAAGAAGACTCTTCTCTCCTTCCTCACTGTCAGCTCTATCAGTTATCCCTCTACTGCCCCTTGCAGACAGCCACGTGTAATTCACACCCGCCCCAGCCTTCCTCCAGCATTACCTCCTTTTACACACTCATCTGGAGACTCTGTCCTCCAAAAACTACTTGGGAAGGTGAGCAGGATTTGATACTGAGGATGGTGCATTGTACCAAGCAGGTATATTATCCAAGTAAGAGTATTGGATAGAGGCAGAGATGAGGAGAGATTTCTGCATTCTGCTCATGTTTAGTTTTGATGCACTCCACCTCTTCAGAATTTCATGGAGTGAAGCACTGTGGATAGGAGAACATACTATATTGGGTCAGCAGGTCTGCATTACTTTAGACCCTGAGAAACACTAGGGTAGGAGATATGCATATCAAACTGCCATCCTAAGTCAGTATGAAATGGGCATTTGACTAGCATACATGTGAGAAATAGAGTTGAAAATAATCCCTTGTGTTAATATATATCACGTGTGGATACATCTCCCCCTCACTGAAAGAAATGTGAATAGGGAGGGGCGCTTGGATGGCTCCGTCGGTTAAGTGTCCAATTTCAGCTCAGGTCACAATCTCATGGTTTATGAGTTTGAGCCCTGCGTCAGGCTCTGTGCTAAGAGCTCAGAACCTGGAGCCAGCTTCTGATTCTGTGTCTCACTCTCTCCCTGCCCCTCCCCCACTCATGCTCTGTCTCTCTGTCTCTCTCTTTCTCTCTCTCAAAAATAAGTAAGCATTTTAAAAAAAAAAGTGAATGGGGAAAAAAAGTAGGGAGGGCCCAAAGCTTTCTTTTCAGAAACGGAAAGGGGGTCATCATCCTGAATACAGAAAGGCAAAGTGTTCCTCTGAGAAATGATTTATTATGAGAACAAGAAAAAAAATAATAAAAAAACTGATGACTTTTCTGGGAAAAACATAAGGCTTAAATGAAACAAAGCAAAAACAGTTTAAGAGGGATTTTTTCTCCCTAAATGCTATCGATTATATTCTAGTGACAACTTACCTATACTGTTTTGATTTCCAAGTTCTTTAGACTTCTTGTCCATGTGTGTAATTACAAATACTTTTTGTTTTTTATCAATACAATAAGTCTCTGACTCTTGAGGGTTGCATATTAAAGTGGTTAGTTGTTTTGTTTTTTGCTGTTTTCCAATATGTCTTATATTTGTTTGATCTTATATACTTTTTTTTCATTTTAAATGTTTATATCAAAGTAACCTTAGATTTATAGAAAAGTTACAAGAATAATACAAAGAACTTCCATACAGGCTTCATCCAGATTCCCAAGTTATACCACTTTTGCTCTATGATTTCTTCTCTCTGCATGTACATATTTTTTTCTGAATCATTTGAGCTGTATTTGAGTTGCTGACATGATGACCCTTTATCCCCAAATATGTCAGTGCATGTTTACTAAAAACAAATACATTATCTTTCATAACTACAGTAAAGATCAAAATTAGAAAGTAAACATTAATGTAATGCTGTTCTCTAATCTGCAAACCTCACTCACATTTCCCCAATTGTCCCAATAATGTGTTTCATAACAAAAGAAAATCCCAGTTCACTTGTTACATTTAACTGTCAGGAGTTTTTGTCTTTAATCTAGGACAGTTCCTCAACTTATCTTTTTCTTAACCTTGCAGTTGTGTTTAATGCAAATCAGTTATATTGTAGAATATGCCATAATTTGGTTTCATCTCATGTTTCCTCATGATTATATCCAGGTAATACATATTTGGTAGGAATACCACAGAAGGAATGTTGTGATTTTCTCAGTGCATCATTTCAGGAAGCATGTGATAAAGATTTGTCCCATTGCTTTTACTGTTAACTTTGTTCACTTAGTGAAGGGTGGTGCTTGTCAGGTTTCTCTTCTATAAAATTACTGTTTTTCCTTTTGTAATTATTAATTTGTGGAGATACACTTTGAAACTACAGTAAATAAATATCCTCTTCTTCCTCATACTTTCATCTGCTACTTTCGGCATCCATTGGTGATTCTTGCCCCAAGTGTTTTTTTGCTATGTTGGTTGCCAAATGGCTGTTTTCTGTCTTTCCGTCTTCATTTATTAATTGACTCTACTACAGAGTTTTTCTTTCTTCATTCATTCATTTATTCATTCACTGTATATCAAATATATCTGTGGACTCGTTTTATCCAGTAGGTTTTTGATGCTAAAGTCACTCCAGATTTAGCCAATAGGAACCCCTTCAAGCTGGATCATGTGTCCTTTTGACATGTTTCCGTTATTTGAGCATTTTGAAACTCCTCTTGTATTTTCCCAGTGTTGGCTCTGAAACAGCCATTTCTTTAAGGAGCCATAGTTCCTTTAAATGGAGAGTGGTATGTAGAACCCATCAGAGTGATACAGATTCAAGAGCCTCCCCACAGAAATAACTAAGATACAGATGGATGTTCATACACATTCCCATACACATGTATATCTTTCTGTATCTATCTATGTGTACTAAAACCATTAGTACACACTATTGCTTCAATTTCAGTACAACACAACAGGATATATTGTAGACTTTCTGCTTTTTTACTTCTTTGAAAGTAAGAAATATGCCTACCATTATGTACAGTATATTCATTTATTTGCTTAATCTTTATAAATCCACAGTTTTTTGTTATAAAAGTATTTTAATCAAAAATGTTTTTTGTACCCTTTTACATGACAGTACAAAAAAATTTTTTAAGGAAAATTCATGTTTTTAATTCAGAATAGAAGTATGATTTTTCACTTTTAACTTCCTTTGACCTGAGCATTACAGTGTTAGCCTCAGATTCTTATTTGGAAGTTTATTTACAAATCCACCAATGAATTTTCCTTTTTTATATTTTTCAAGAGCTGTGCACTTGAGTTTAGTTATGTACCACATTCTAATCATTAAGTAGCAAGCACTTTTATTGAAAATATCTTAATTATCTTTGTCTGGAGAGACTTTTAATTATAAGGTACAGAAAAACAACCAAAGTAGGCTCATATTGAGAGCATATCACTGGATTATGTATCTAAAAAGTACAGATATAAATTTATTTTGGGGCACATTTGATTCCAAGGGTCCAGATCATGCCATCAGCACCTGGTCTCTATCACTTGCCTTTGTTTTCCTTGCCGTGACAAGAAGGCTGTGTGGAGCTCCA